TTTTGGTTTTGTTTTCTTTTTTGCTGTAAACAGCACATTTTATTAGAGTTTTGGTTTATCTCAAGAGTTTATTTGACAAACAAAGAAACCTAAACCGTGTATTACACTGTGGTGAAACACAACGGGCATTTGAGAACACGAGGGAAATGTAGAAAACACAAGCCACAGGCGAGTGTTTTCTACATTTCTCAAGTGTTCTCAAATGTTCGGAGTGGTTTATCATAATGCAATACACGGCTTAGGCTTCTTCATTTGCTTTATAATATAGATTTTACATGCGCAAAACAATAAAACACGCTTTTTCTATGTTGATACTCTGATAAAACATGGGTTTTTGACCAATCAGAGCGTGCGCAGGGTCCTATCTATATTATAATGTGTGATATGACAGGCATCAGGGGATGTTACAATTGTCGATATATACTGGTTTAAGGTAGTTACTTGAATGAGCCTAGGAATACTAACGTTGAAGTATTGTAAAAAAAAGCTGTTCTTTAACTGTACTGATCTTTACAGTGGTCATGTATTAATGTGTTTCAGGTTCTAAGTAGTAAGTTGATGCCAACACATCACAGAGATGGAGGAGCCAATGCTAGGATGTTTAAGGAGAACTTTTTAGCGAGTGGAGGACTAAGGTATTCATTCTTCCGTGAACTACTTGGGTGTTATCAAAAGGTGGTTGTAAAAGTGTGGAGGCAACGTGGCCGAGTGGTTTAGGGCGCTGGATTTGAAATCTGGAGCTCCCTGGTTCAAATCCTCCACCCTAGCGCTCTCTGGATTTGTTCTCGGTAGCCCCGAGTTCAACTCCTCGACCGCGTTGTGTAAATAGCCAACTGGTTAGCCTCCCACCTGTTGGGATTCTTAATAGTTTATGTTTTATTTGAAATATTTGTTTATTTGGTTACCTTGTCCCCAATTAGCACGACAATGCTAAATACATTTGACACTGAGATAAAGTTATTTATTATTAATTTTATTTTATTATTAGCATGATAGATAACTTGCATCCGTTTTGTTCAGCCATATAAAACAGTGATGCTTTTTTTCTTGTCAACAGTGTTGTAGTGAATATCCTTCAAAAAGACATGTTTCCTCAGGATGTAGACACTGAGATTCGCAGAGGCTGCTATGCAATTTGCTTACAACTAGCAAGGTTTGTATTCTTTTGGAGCCATGAACTCACTCTGTCATGTATGTTGTGGTGTAAATTTTGTTTAAAATTTTTCAAAGCTGTTTTAACACCAATTCTAGTGTCAATTGACCATAGCATGGATATTTACATTGTAAACCATGGCTGCATGTCTCGGCAACCTATTAGCTGGAGTATGTTTTTCGTCGTCTCAGAGCGCACACACCCATGATCCATGCCGCTAGCCATGTTGACCATAAAAAAAAGAGTTGCATGGTTTTCTATTTCTATGCATGCATGTGGTTATGTTCCTGTAGTTATGGTGCTCTGCTTGAAGGCCATTCAGGCTGCCGGAGCTCTGCTATGAAACCTTGCGAGATGATTAATGCTAGCGATATTTGAATAGTTTCGAAGAATCATTATTAATCTTTTGGCATTGCAGTGCTTTTCTATTTTCACGTAATTTATGTTTTCTCCATTCTTTACTTCCATGTATATGCAGACAATAGATTTGTGCTCAGTATATTCATTAGTTCTAAGAAGTGTTCTGTTCTCCTTCGGTTTCAAGGTTCTTGTTGTGTGGACAATCCTCAGAAAATTCCTTTACAGCCCCACCTTCGCCACCACACAGAGAACATGCTACTATTGCAGCATCACCGGTTGCCATGGCAACAGGTACCATGGAAACCGACTTAAACGACTCCCTTAACAACTCGGCAATTGAGGCGAAGAGAGCACGCTCTAGCAGTATGATTGACGATGTACATCCTTCTGTAAGGGTTGCTATTGAGGTAAATGATTTAGCTACATGTAGGAAGGTTTAATTAACAAGCCTTCATTTCAATTCTCATTTTGGACTTTTTGTTATTCTGCCCTGGTCAAAGGCTGGATAACGCCATATCCATTAGATAAATCGCTATCTAGTGGATGGCATAGTTTGATTTTGACACTTATCTGCTGGAAAGCGATTTATTGTTAGTACTGCTGTTCAGTAGACTTGTTTTATATCTTGATTCATGGTTGTGAAAGTACATAATTTAAAATATCAAAATTGGATGGGCTTTGCAAAAGTAATGAGAATGAAATTAATTGATTACGTCGGTCCTCTTTTCTGCGGTATGGTAGAATTACATGTAGTTTGTCTTAGTTGAAAACACGACCCCACTTGTAAGCAAGCCTTCATTTTTACCCACATCGTGCAAATGAAGGATGTTGTTGTTGTTGTTGTTGTTGTTTCAATTGGTTTGTTCCAATGGAACTTTTTGGGCATGCCCAGTAGAACGTCCAATGGGTGTGTGAATGAGGACAAGGAAACTTCTGTCTTGTAGGGTAGCAGAATTTTAACTAACCTTATTTGCGTCTTCAGACAATGGGCCGAGATGACTTTGCAGAGACTATTGCTTGTTTTATGCGTGTAGCCTGGGCGGCAGCTGCTGGAAGAATCAACCTGGCTGGAGGCAGACAGAGACTGTCTAGTCAAAGCTCCGATGATGAAGGAAGCAGTCATGGGGGAGCAGGGAGTGACACAGAGTCTGTTAAGTCCTTTAGATCGAGTGTCTCCAGTGGCAACCCCTCTGAAGTTACTAACAAGGTATGGAAATAGATAACTGTTGTTCGCAGTGGCGGATCGAGACCTTGAGCTAAGGAGGGGGGGGGTTGTTTTGCTTGCCCTGTCGGCTGTTCTTCCATCTGTGATTTCTTCTTGCTTACCCAAAATAGTGGGGGGAGGGGGGGCAGGCCCCTCGGCCCCCCCGGGCCCCTCCCCTAGATCTGCCACTGGTTTGTAGTGTGAACAGTGGAGCATGTTGTTTCCGAGTAGTTGGAGTTGTGGACTCTGGTTAGGAAGTTCCAGGCACAGTGTTTTCCTCTCCAATAACAGTCTGGTGTTCTCAGAAGTCAGTTTAAGTCCAAGGCCTCGGTTGGTGTTGTAAAATAGCTAACTCGTTTGTCACCTGCCTATCGTGAGTCTGATCCAGCTTCTGGTCGCTTGCAATATTTGTTTCAGTGTAACTTGTTAATGTTGGACGTAAAATGCCCTATTGGACGGTTGTCCATTATATGGAGGGCTGCCAATAAGAACCGTAACCCGTAGCACCTGTTACAGCTGAGCATGCTTGATGGACCCATGGTGTGACGGGTGAACTTGCCTGTCGAGTTGATCCAATTCACCCAAAAAGTAACAAGTTTCTGTTACGTGTGTATCAAGGCTGCAGGTGAACGTTTTGTAGCTGTACATTCGGGTTTGTACGTTTGGTACTGCAGTGCAACTCTTATATAATGGATATGTGTTTTGGTACCAAAAACGTGTTTGTTTTAGTGAGGCATGATAGATGTAAATGTATTGTACTATAGTACGTTCAGTGAGCATGTAGAAGTCAAAATATGTTTGTGAAAAAAACCTTCCAGCGTTCTGAGTAGTTGCTCCATCTCCCTCAGTTTAATTATCAGTGATTCGATTTTCCTGCTGATGTGTTTTACTGCTGCTTTCATTTGCAGGATGTTGTAATAGTCGGTGAGGCCCTTCAGCTCCTTGTTCTTTGTTTGCAACTCAGAACGCAACTTATGGGTGAGATAACATTCTGTGCAATAAATGGCACTCGCTTGTGTACAAAACGGCTCACACTTTTAAGCACTGGGGGAATAAACATAAAAGTAATAATCTAAAACTGTTAATCTATGTTTTTCTGGCCTGATCTCCAAACTGAGAGAAAGAATCTAAGCTAATCTATGCTTAAAACAAACATGTAGCTTTTTAAACATCTTACTTCTAAAACTTATCACTTTGTGTTTACAGATACGTTGCAGCCTAGAGTAAAACCCAAAGCCTGTGTTTTTTGTTTTGTTTTTTTTCTATAGGAGGGGTGACCTCACCCTTGGGTCCGTCATTTTATTCACATTCTCACAGTATTTATCTTGTAGGAGTACTTCTGAGTATTTCAATTGTAAAATTATCTGACGCAATTTGTTACTTGGTTTTGTAGGAGTATTTTATTACCTTCCAAACGTAAATGACTTCATTGTGGAAATTCTTATAGGATCTGTCAATTCTCAGGTAATACATGTTTTGTGTTAGTGAATCTGATATGTTACAAAATATCACCTCTAGCTGTATTCCCGCGTGTATTTGTCTAAACATGACTTTTGATTGAGTGTAAACTGGGCAACATATGCCCTTCAAATTCCAGTGTTCAGTTTCCAACTAAAACTAATTGTTCAATATAAGTGAATTATTTTAAACAGACTGTAAGCAAGATTTGTCAGTGACAACAAAATTATTTTGACTTAAACAGCTTGGCAGAGAGAGACCTTGTGTGGTTTATTTATTTGAAGGAAAATTAAGACGAAATCCGATAGAAAATCGAGCAATTTCAGGTTTTAATGGACAAAAATCTGGTACCAGAATAATTTTAAGTATTTTACAGTCATTTGTACATTTTCTTAAATGTAAATACATAAATAATTGCCTGAAATAACACCGAAAACAATTTCCCATGGGAACGAGAGAAAATGATTTTCAAAGTTCACAGACCTTGTGCAAACACAGGCAAAATTTCATCATCAGTTTCATTTCACCAGTACTTTCAAGTGTTTCATACGAAGTTAAACATTCGTTTTCGACGTCTGGTGTTGCTAGAAATGATTTTTTTGAGCAGATATTTAAAAGGGTCGTACAGAAGTTTGCAATACGATGTAAATAATCTTGGTACTACGTTTTTGTCCACTCGTTACTCGAACTTCTGGTGGATTCCGTCTTAATTCAATAGCCTCGGTTTGGCTCGAATATTATCTCTTTTTGAAGGCGCACTGTTTCTTCAACCTTTGCGCTTGGAAATCTGTCTCCTTCCAAGAACAGATAATGCCCGCAAGAAAAAATATGTGTGGATATTTTTGCACAGATTTACGATTGTTTGGGGGACTGAACAAAATGTAGGGGGTACACAACCATGGGTCAGCTATTCCATCCAGGGAAGTGGTAATATCTTAATTTGCCTGAACAATTCAAAGAAACAGAGTGTCGTCTTGATGCTCTGTGAGTAGACTTGACCTGGTAAACCTAAGTAGCTCAAAACGGTGTAACCTTTTTTCCCTTAAGGTGCGGTCTACAGCACTAGAGCAACTTTTGATTTTAAGTCAAACTCCTGTAGGAGGTATGTAGTGTGTGCTTTTATGTATCTGAAAAAAATCAGCGTGGTTAGTAACATTACATGCGATAAACTGGTTTTGTCTTTTCACGAAAACGTTTGAAGGTCAAACACTTTTGCTCCTGTTTTTTTTTTTTT